TGGCGGCAGCGGCGGCAGCGGGCGGCGCTCCCGGGCCGCTGGCTCTGTACGATTGTGGGCACCGTGGTGGCAGCGAGCCCCTCACCATCCCTGGCACCTTCACGTCTAGCCGTACTTCAAACGGATAGAGTGGCTGTAATCCAGGCAGTGACCGTGCTTACTGTGTGTTGGGAGAAGAGGGAAACCTGGCGTTGCGGAGGCCGCGAGCAGGCAGCTGGCGGAGACGCGGGGAGATGCGCCTCCCGGGGACCGGACTCGGTTCCCCGCGTCCTGCTTCGGAGGGGCACATCTCAGTCTTCTTGGGTCTGCCGAATCAAGCCTGTAAAGGGCACCTACCTGGGCGGGGGCTAAACGCCTTCCCTACAACCCTGGGGGTGACGGGGTGGAGGATAACCTAATGATAAGGTTCGCTGTAGGGGCAAGAGGGCTGGATAATCGGGTTTACCAGCTGTTTGTGACTGGCTAGTCTCCTGGCTGGAGAGGAGACCTAAGCGAGGCCCGGCCCGACAACTCTAAAGTCCTCTGGATTTTGTCTTCCCTTTCTTCATTAGCTTCATTCGTTCCTTTAGACTCACACATTCATCAGACCCTTCTAAGGTCTTTTGCACGTTCCTTACAGCCAAGGTTTGTGGTGTTCTGTCCCCTCCGCATCACATGCTTTACTGTGCTCAGGAATAGAATTTTGCTCTCCAGTCCCTCTCTCCCATCATCAACCTCCATGGAGCATCCATGGCAAATGCTGCCCGTGACCGTTTTGCCCTCATTGAATTGGTAGTTTCTTGAGATTCGAGCCGGACCTAGTGAATTGAAGCATAGTTTGCCTGCAAGACGAATCCGGTTGCCATGGCGACTCCTGCCTTCGGAATCTTAACAGCTCTCACTGCTGTTTCAATTCGTTGTGGCTCTGCGGGCAGCTGGGAGGGCGTGGCCGGGGGTGTGGTCAAATGTTTGCCCTAGGCCCAGCTGCTCCCTCTTCCTCACCCTTCTGGCAGCTCTGGGACTCCCCCTATTCTCTCCTACATAGCTTGGATACCCTTTTTGGACCCCTTTTCCTCCCTCGTGCTGATACATCATCTCAAAAGGAATTGTCTGGGGCTTTTGTTGTGAGGTGAACTAAATTTGGAAGATGTCTTTGCTGCATCAAGCGAACCGTATCTTTCCACCATTACCACAGTTAATAGTGTTGGAGGCAGTTTTCTTAACAAGGTCACTCTGCCCATGCCTACACTGCTCCCTGGTCAGCAAATAGCCTGAGGTGTCATCACCTCAAAATATCAGAGCAATTAATAACAGAAATTGAAGTGTGGGCGCACAGTGGTAGAAATAATTTTCATAAAATCTAAAGTCCAGCTGCTGATGGTCCTTAAAAGTGAAACTCTGAGCCGAGTGCTAACCCATTACCTCTGAGAGCACCTGTCATCTCACTGATAGTGTGGACAGGTGAGTTCAAAGAATACCTAATGTTGATTCTAGGTTTAAAGCCTTGCAACTCTGAAAATGACCCCTCCTCCCAATAGCGCAAGGTTTAAACTGAACTCTGACATTGTAGCATTCAGTTTGTATGGCTGCCCCCAAATCAAGATCCTTGGGGTGCTGTTGAAAAATAGACAAGGTAGCTGTAAGTACTATTTTTAAATTTATAGTACACTTGATATTATCTTAAGCATCTGGGCTTTTATGTCCTAGTCACAATTAGTTGTTTACATTTTGTGGTTTGCAGATTCTTGATGAATGTAGTTATTTGTAACGTAATTGAGCAAAAGGCAATTAAATTATATTAAGATGTTTGTTTCCCATCGTCTGCATTTTATCCTGATTGTGTTATCTCTCAAAAATGGGTGGGGGGTTGTATATAGGAGTTTCTATGCAAGTGCATTCATGTACAGGGTAATGCTTGGGTTGTTGTGCCAAGTGGTTAACACTCATCTTAAGTAGGTGGTTACATCCCTGTGAGGCAGCAATAGCAGAAGTTTTCACTCATTATTATGTATTTTCTTTTTTGCCCTAGGATTTATCATAAGGGGGAAATGTCCTTCATTTATTAGCTTATTTGCTTTTGCTCTGTGTGCTAAACTTTTTGAAGGCAGGCTATTTGTCGTCTCAGTCTTTCCAGAATTTGGGACAAGTTTCTTTAATAAGCATTCATTAGCTAAAAATTAAAGAGGATTGAAAATCCAAGATCTGTATTCTATCTCCTGCTAGTTATGTAATTTGTTGTAATATTCTCCCTTATTTTTGTCAACACATCTTGCTACAATTCTTTCCATGAGTGTAAAGATGGTTTGTTATTTTATAATTACTTTTAGAATGCATTCACCTCCATAGGCTATTGTTACACTTTCTTAGTACACTCAACTGGATACTTTTAGTAGCTGTACTCTCCTTGGCCCAGATAATTTCCCCAAAGGTGTATGGCGGGGAAACTGAGGAGAAAGAGAAGGCAAAGATAGCTAGAAGCTTTTGTCAGTCCACCAGTGGCTCCTGGAGTTGCTGGGAGACAGCAGTCTTGTCATCTGGGGCAGAGTTGTTCTATAAACAGGATCTGTTCCAGGCCATTCCTAGGAAAGGACATTTGTCTGGTGTTGATTAAGGTGTTGTTATGCAGTGGTCAAACTGGTGGCTCTGGAGTGTGATCCATCTTAAGAAGGGTGATAGAGAAGCGTGGTGGGTCAGTCACATCCTTAGGCAGAACTGGAAACCTGCCTTTCTCTTCTTGGCAGGTAGTTTGGAGTGTTGAGAATGTGCTTGTGGATAGTTTTATTTGGGCTACTTTGTTTAAAGAACTGTCTTTAGTGTTGGTAACAAGGTTCTCCCCACAAATAGGTGCCTAAAAACACAGTTAAGACTGAAATAGTTTCATTTTGTAAATATTTAGAGTATGGCTTTGGCTTGAGAATCTTGGGTTCTTCTGTGAAAACACTTTAAAGTTACAGCTGGATAAGAGGGAACAAGCCTTTCCCACAAAGCTAGGTACCACTGAGCTTCAGGTGTATGGTTCAGAAAATGATCCACAGAGCTTGTCACTGGAATTGGGGGTCTTTCCTAGCATCCTATAGTCTTGTGTTTCCAAATCTTAGGTCTGTGTTCTGTTAGTTACGGAAAAAACAAAACTTTGCCAATTTTGGTTGCCAAACTTGTTTTCTCTACAGGGCACTTAGTCAAAATGAAAGTGTCTCCTCCCACCTCGCCCCCCCCCCTTGGGATAAAGATTATGAATTGCTGTCACTTGTTCTGGCGTTAACTTGGTAATGGAAGAAAGCTTCCCAGTTAGTATCTAAGTCAAATACTCCCAACATCCTTTTTTTTTTTTTTTTTTTTTTTTTTTTTTTTTTTTTTTTTTAGCTCAGAGGTTTGTATAGGCTAGGGCAGGCTGAGTACTTAGTGAATGCACTGTCTTTTATGTATATTTTGGTAGAGACCATGTCCTCACCTCATTAGCATCCCCACCGAAAGGAGGACAGATAAAGTTGAGACGCCCACTCATCTCAGTGACCTGTATTCCCGCCCAACAGATGGCAGAGAAAGATGTTGTCTACCTTTTAGTTTCTGGTACCCTTCCCGATGTCCCAGGAGCAGAGAACGGAGCATCTCCAAGGGAGTTTACTTTCATAGTGTAAGAATGAGTTTGTTGACTCTGAAGAGCATAGCAACAAGGGTTCTGTCCTCACCCCCTCACCTGTGTCCCCAAGTTTTGAGACAGGGTCTCATGTATCCCAGGCTGACCTTAAATACATACAGTGGAGGATAGGTTTGAACTTTCGATTCTCTTGCCTGTCTCCCAAGCACTTTGCTTATAGGCCTGTGCTTCTCCACCTGGTTCATGCCAGGTGTGAAACAAGGCCTTTGTACATGCAAGAGGGGCACCTGCTTATCAACTGAGCAACAGCATCCAACCCCACATTTAGCATTTGAATGATAAAGCTTTTGAATTTCCCTTTTGCTGTATTTCATATAGACATATGTATTTCGTATAGGCAGAGTATCTGAAAAAAGGAAGTATTTTTATATTCTATATTTAAATTTTTTTGGAGGGTGTTCAGTTTCAGACCCTATTTGTGAGGATAAATTTTCACTGGATTGAATCCTTCATCTGGAAACAGGCATCTCACCTA